GTGTCAGCAGCGCCAGGAAGCACAGATACAGTGCCTGCAGTAGCTCTAGCGGCGGTAGCCGCAGCAGCAGCTGTAGATGGAACCGCAGCATTCCCTTTGAGTGAAGCAGTGATGCGGGCAGTGACTTGCTTTCCGTGACAGAATAATTATTAGATCTCAGTACCTGACTTTCATTCGTGTTGTTCCTCAGCACCCCTCTCTCCCCAAGTACAGGAGTTGGCCTCGGAATGCAAGAAGTACGATTTGAAACTGCCTGCTGCACTGGTGCACCTATCACCATTGATTTGAAGGGGTTGTATTTTATCTTTGCACATGCATGTGCTCAGCAGATTTTATGCTGCTCCTCATGATCCATCGCGTCCGCCCGCATGCACTGCCTATTGGCCGTCTGACCAATTTGATAGTTCGTTGAGTTTCAACTTCGTGCTCTATGCTTGCATTTATACCTGAATGCTATGTTCAAACACTTCTTGTTAGTATTGGACCTCCTGTTTGCTGCATATAAGGGCTCCGTCGCAGTCTTCTGGCGCTCCTGCAGGGCGCCGTGCAATTCTAGTGTTGCCTTTCTGACTTCTGCTGCAGGCTGTTGGCCCTCGGCGAGGAAACCCTCAAGGAGACGAACCCCTCGGACCCTTATTTGCAGCAGGTTGGTTAGATAAGAGCATATTTGCATCTGTTACTGAGCGCGAGGTGCTGCGTAGCCTGCTGCAACAGCAGACTTCTGCTGATGCACCAGTAGCTGCGACTGTTCTCGCCGCTGAGCTGCAGTGGTTTCTCCTTGTTGTTTCACATGCAGGCATGTAAAGAGTTGGACGAGGCTCTGACGTTTTTTAATTCTATTGCTGCGGCGGATGAGGACTTGGCGAGGCAGCAGCAGGGGGAGAAGCAGCCGCAAGAACAGCAGCAGCAGGAGTCAGTCGCCTCATCTCGCCCACGACATGGCAGGCGTGCTGAGAGGGAAAGCAGCAAGAAGCAGCACCACGGCCGAAGCAGTAGCAGCAGGGGGAAAAGGAAAGATAAAATAAAGGCAGCACCAACAGACCGAACTACTGCTGCTGCGTNAGTAGCAGCAGGGGGAAAAGGAAAGATAAAATAAAGGCAGCACCAACAGACCGAACTACTGCTGCTGCGTCGCAGCAGGAGATTGACTCACTCTTTGCGGAATGGCCTCACATAGACTTCGCCTTCCCAGAAAGCTCAGCTGTGGTCTCTGCTGGTGCCACTGGGCAGGACGTTCCCTCATGGGAGAGCAGCGCAGCAAAGGACCCTTTTTTCCCCGCTGCAGCTGACTCCTCTGCCGCAGCACCTGCTCCAGCTGCAGCAGCAGTACCTGTTGCCGAGGACTCCGTGAAGCACAGGCATGGCAGAACTAGGGGTCACAGTAGAAGGCGTGCAAAATCCAGCAGCAGCAGACCACGTGAATCAGACGCACCCAGCAGTGACGGCGATAGCAGCAGTAGCAGCAGCACCAGCAGCACATCTGGTCTCAGCAGCAGCACGCGCAGCAGGGAAGACAGTAGTGGCAGCGAGGTGGAGGCCACGAAAGCCAACAGCAAGCGCCACAGGCGGCGAAGAAGGAATCATCGTTCGCGGCTTCGACCTTCCAGTAGCAGGGAAACAGCAGCAGCGACCGCACTTCAGACGGCTGGAGCAACAGAAGAACCAGCAGATGACCGTTGCAGCATTAGCATATC